GACAAGGCAACAATGCCCAGAGTCAAGACACCAATCCTGACACCCTATAAAGAGGTCCAAACTGTGAACCCCGCGACTTAAATCTTTGTATCCTTGCTCCTTAGCTTTCAATCCCTAAGCCCCCCCAATCTAAACCCGAACCTCCCTCGAGGCAGTGATGATACGGAAGGCGAAGGCAGCGCGGCAAGCCGCACATCGTCGCTGGAGCGGGTTCTAAACAGCCCTTTGGTTTCACTCATGTAAAGACGCACCAAACCCTCAACGATTCGGCCTTCGGTTTGACTCGCTCGACAAAAAAAACGCCTTAGGGCCAGTGGTTGCCGGAAAAGTAGAGTGTGCAAAATCTGGCCTTTGTCTTCACTCTCATCAGTGGAGCAGCCTTTGCCGAACCACTTGTTCAACGAGGCCTCGAGCTGCACAAGCAGCTGAAAGGCCACCGATTTCTTTTCATCAAGGCCGGCCGGGTTGGGGTTGAGGTGCGTGCTGAAGTATTACCTCGCAGCAAGCATAAGCCAGTGTTTCGTGATAGATGATGCTGTGAAGGGGATGTCTTTCAAGTGTATACTGTACATTTTTAGGGTCCGAGGGGGCTGTGGGAGTCCACATTTTTGAAGTTTTGGGATTCTGTATTTGTTGTTGGCGGGCGGCGTTATGTTATCATTGGCTTTCATTCACATAAAGTGTCATCTTGTACACTACATCACAGAATCACTCATGCTCGTCTTCATATTCTGGCTAAGGGTACTTACGAGTATCTCCGCGCAAGATCCCACGCTATTCTTCGCATTATCTTGTTTTATAGAGCAGTCGATTATTGGTGAGAGTCTTATCTGCATTCATGTTATTCAAGGAAGACTGCCTGCACGCACAGTAGTAGTCAAAAGTCAGACACGTTTGCCATACCACCACACAATACGATCCGTCTGGAGCACACATGACACGAACGACGTGGTTTATTCGGAGGCATTTCTTTTCCACTAATCTCATGAATACTGTTTATATGCGGTATGCTCAATAAGACTTTCGAACAAGGGCAACGTGTAATGCTCGAGTACTAGGGAAACTACGAAGAATTGCCAAGAAGATGACCTGGCTTAGCATTTCGTGTCTGTCATGGTGATACTAATCATGCTGTCTGCAGTGCAGTATCGGTGTTGCTTTGTAGACCAAGCAGGATGAGTTTGCAGTGCATTTTGGCTGTTAACAGTAAAAGCAGTGCGAAAATGATACCATTGCCGAGAGTATTAGCAGCATCAGCACTTTTCGACATGTAGTACCATTCGAGCATTCACTGCTTTGCTACGCAGCTTGAAGTATTTCAAGAAGAAGCGCACTCTCTAGCACCTGTGTATATGTGCGCGTGTGTGTGTGTGTGTGTTGTATGTGTGGGCGTGTTTGTGTGTTTGCCCTCTGCAGCGCAATATCGAAGCGTGTTCATACATAGTTAGCATCGCAAGGCACAGAATTCCGTAGGAGAGTGCTGTCTAGTATATGTTTTTATACGAAAGAATCATGTAGCATTATGGGAGACAGGTTGTATTCCGGGAGCCTCGATAGGTAATGTGAGACATGGCAAAATTAAGACAACGGTATGTGTCACAAACGTATACATATAGTGTATGTACATCACGGATGGCTGCCCACTGTAACCTCTGGCATGATATCGTCTTATGGTTTTGTCTGACGCATTTGTATGATCGCAGTGTGACTTGTCTAGAATCATGAAGCAGACGCTTATCTTGCACTTGTCTTGCTTCGAATGACTAATGCTGTGTCGCAAGTAGACACCCTGTGTATCAAAAGCTGCAACAAAAGCCACAAAAATCCCCAGCCTTGAGTGTCAATACTTGCAGGAGCGAATTGGCGAGACTGCTCTCGCCGCTATGGACGAATCCGCGCTGAAGGCGCCAAAGCTTCAAAAGTTTTGCATGCTCCCCTACGAACACCCCTAAAGCCTTTCGATGTGGGGGCTGCCTGATTTCAGCTGACGAATAGGACGAAGGGCACGTTCACTGCCGAAAGGTTCCGGAAAAGCTTAGGTTTGATGGGCTTTCAGGCTGGCTTTACAGAGTGTTACGCGACTTGGTGTTTCTAAGTCTCGGATGTAATGGGTAGGGTTTACATTGGTGCTTCGCTGAGCGGGGCTTCTTAGTAAATATTCGCGCTTGCAGCCTTCGGGCTCTACGGGACTACAAAGAACCTTTGAGCGAGGGATTGGGAGATAGAGTTGCAGGAGGAAGATGGACGGATTGAGGTTCATGGTCTGGGCGACCGACAGGATGCACAGGCCTTGCACTAAGCCGAACCACATAATCGCGAAAATATGCCCTGAAGGAGATCGGCGTGTCTCGATGGGGTGACCGCGTCAAAATACTGAAGTTCCGTGATGAGCTGCTAGCTCAGACTGCTCAGACGTAATTCGCAAGCATGGATGCCTTTGCTCGAGTATAAAACTGAACTGCTCGGTCAGTTCTTGGCCCAAGCCTTCCAAAATCTCATTGCCAAGCGGCGGGGTGACCCTACACCATAAGCTCCAAACCGAACTCTAAACTCCCAAACCGACAACCCCAAACTCCAATCCTCAAAGCCCAAATACCTCTGAGCTTAAATGACACCCTAAAGTCTAAGCTGCTGGTAAAGCTTACAAGCGTGTGCAGCAGCGGTGGTTGCAGAGGTGAGTTGTCATGTTCTGTGAACTATCACGTAAATAAGTCCTCCCCCGAGGACCTTTCTTGCAGCTAAAGGTAATCTGACTGGAGTCATCCTTTTTGAGTCATCGTACCCTTAAGGCAGTTGCACACCAGGGGACTTAGGATGTAGGATCTTCATCCGGCCAGAGCCAGGATAGAGCCAGGAGTACGAGTGTTGATTCAGCTGCTTGAAAACTACGTCGCCTGACACACGGAGTCATCGACACCCCAGATCCGCTTGACATCTGCATGAAATTGAGTCTGATTTGGACTCCATTGAGATTGTTTCAGCTTGCTTTCCATTGCACAATCTATGTGCGCGGAGGTCACACATCGCTTGAGCACTTTTTGTCTTGCACCTCGAATGAGGACATGAGCTCGATGCTGGCAGACGTGCCTGTATACCTGATGCCGCAAAGGCTGCATGCGGGCATTTCAAGCACTGGCAAGATGTGACATTTGGTAATTCCCGAATTTGTCCAGCCCAGACCTTTGAAGGACACAACAACGGAACCACCAAAGATACTTAGCTACTTGAGGGGTTGGAAAAGCATCTTCCCGTGTGTTTCGTGTTGTGTGTCCTTGAAGGGTCCCGGCAGGAGTCGCACCGACCATGTCAAACGGTCGCCACGCCTATAAGAGCGAATCAGGTGAGAAGGCGAAGTCCTGGACTTCGTAGTAATTGCTGATAAGGTCTCAGTCCAGGTATTGCTAGGGCCTTATTTGAAGGGCTGCACACTTCGGAGCAAACCCTAAGAACTTCAAGAGCACATCACAATGCAAGCTTCGAAGCCTGGGATCAAGTTGCTGATGCTTCTTTGATCTGAGTCCTGCAAGGGAATCTGAGACTGCCTCGGTCACCAGTGATTTCCCTGGCAGTCCGTCCCTCTCTAATGCTAGTATGCTAGGTTCCTCAACCCGATACCCTTTTCCAACTGGCACCTGCATCTTCCATTCCTTTAGAGACTGCTATTGGCTGAGATGCCTCTCGGACTGCCTTGCCGTTGCATGTCACCCTTCACGCCCATGCCGCAAGCTAAAGGCTCGGGGTCTGTGGCATGTCGTCCACCTAATGCGCATTGTTCTATCCTGGGCTAAGCAGCTCCAGCGAAACTGGATTTTCAGACTGCCATGCAGGGACTTGCCCAAGAGATCTGGTCACACTGCAAGGCTGTGGCTGAGAAAAGTGCCGCATATTGCTGAGCGCCCTGGGGGTTCTATGCTCGGCTGGCGATGGGCGTGGCTTTCTGTGAAGTACTTACAGAGCATGTACACTGCCCGGAATGAATCAAACTTGGCTTCAAACGTTAGCACTTTGGGCATGAGTTTTTGTTAAACCGACGCACTCTAAGCATCAGAATGATACGCAACAAAGCTTTGTCGCAGACCTAGATTGAAGTTCAAAGCATCCCGTACCCTCTTGCTCGGGAGCATCGATCCGCTACTTCATGACGTTTTCGGGTTCAGTTGTGCGGCGCAGCTACTTCGTTGGAAGTGGATGCACCTCTCTCTTTCTTGTTCAGGGCTTACACTCGGGTTTACAGCATGTTGAGGGTCTAGGATACCTGAACCGTGTTCAACGAAACGGAAAGGAGCAAACTCCTATGCCCAAGGACATCCTCAACCTCATGAGCTCACGAGCATAAATTACTGAAGCTTACGAATCCTGAGCCCTGTAAGCTAACCCTCCTCGGCATCGCCTGGCATCCCTAAACCCGAGGCAGCAGGACCATAGACCTTGACTTTAAAAGACCCCAAGCTTCCCTGAACCCCGTGAATCCTACATCCCAAACCGAAGCCTCAAACTCCAGAGTCGGGCTGAGTTCAAGAAACTCATGAACCCAAGCCCGAGACAAAACCGATACAGCCCTGAACCCCAAATCCCAAACTCTAAGGCCCAAACCCCTAAGCCCCCGACCCCACACATCAGAAAAGCAAATGAACCCAGACCCCCAACACGCCTGGACCCCTCAACTCGAACCGCTAAGCTGTACCTGTCTCGCCGAACCCTTACGAAATGACGGATTATGACCCGAACTGCAGCATGTAACCCTTAAAATGGTAGCCCTTTCGATCCACACGTAGACCTTACATTCACAAGCATTGAGCTTATGCACTGTACCTAAACGGCAACAGTGCTTTGTCGTTCAAGTCATGGATATGGCTCTTAATGACTCTGATTTTACGGCACTCTTAAGAACTTTCTACTACAGGAAACTCTTCAAAGGAACTCCACTAAAGCTCTAAAGCCTAAACCCCCGAAAGCCCTAAAGTATCGGATCATATTTAGGAGCCCCAAAGCACCGCAAGGCCAACGGAGTACGTGCGGAGAGCGCTGAGCGACTCGGGACACTGAGGGCCGAACTCGAGGTGCAAAGCAGAGGAGGGTTTTGAGGCGGTCTAAGAATCGTGTTATACGGGTCTTACCAGGATGTTCTACAGGATTCTGTGGTTTGTGTAAGGACTTCAGAAACCTCTTATGAAGGTATCTAGTTATTCAAGGGCCTTCACGGCATATGGCATGTTATGTTGTTTTTCTGTTGAGCTATTTGTTGGAGTTTACAGGATTTTCAGCTGCTGTTCGAGGCTGTCGTTCGATAGGGTGATACTGTATGAGAGCTTTACAGACATGACTTTTTCGTTGGTTCCAAAGCCTGTTTCACTTCGGGGTTCATCTTTGAAACTGTAGGAACAAAGAACTCCTGGTGTTCAGGCGCAACTTGGCAACTAGGTTTAGGTTGTAGGGTTCCCTCACCTTCGCCCTAAACATTGAAACCCTAAGCTAGTGACGTTCGTTTGCTAACGCACGCATCGGGGCCGGGGGGGGGGGGGGGGGGGGGAGGGGGGCGATAAGTGTCACCGTTACCTCATTTCTTGTATTCTGAGAATCCGATATTTTTACACATGTAACGAATCTTGTCTGAACCCAGGATACTATTGAGGAGGCCTATCTTAACCCTAAGAAACCGCTAAAGAGCCTCGCTGAATATGAAGAAACCCTGTGACATCCCTGAAAGGAGGACGGCAAGACGGTGGTCTTTGTGGCCGTGGATGGGGTACCGGCCCCAGCCCAAACCTGAAACGAAGCCAAAGTACAGGTCAGTGGTTTCTGGGAGTGAAGCCCAAGCCCAACTTTCTCTGGAAGCCCCTGTCGCCTTCTGACCCCCATGCTCCGTGAACCATAAATCGCACTAAACCTTCGACCCGAAACGCATTGGAAAGAGGCGCCTCAACCACCTCCCAAACGAGGTTCTTAGCAGGCAGGCATCCCCCTGGCACCAGCGGCTTGACTGGTCTACAGGGGCCCAAAATACAAGCAATATGATCCGTCAGGGTTCCTTCATAATCATACAACTACGTTACAACATATCCCAGCACCCGAATAAAGTTGCTAAGGCCACTAGATTACTGTGGTTTGTCGTTCAGGCGCACCTTGTGTTTTCAGAGTACACTGAACCTCCAGGCTCCAACGCATGACGTCAGAGTGGACGACACGGACGAAGCTACTCCTTGAGGTTGAAGGTTGAAGGTTCTGAGTGTTCATACACGCGATGCATTTGGGGTGTGGTATGGCCCTCTGGGGTTCAGAGTTTTGGTTTAGGGTGGCTGCTCCAGCCGCATGTTCTGCAGCCCTGGCTGGTGAAGTAGTCACCCAGCATCTGCACCTCCTAGTGCGGTCCTACAGCCGGCCCTACACCTTAAACCCTTAACGCTACTACGCGAACCCTGAACTCTAAACGGTTCCACTGTTAGCACCCACTGGCCTTCCCAGATGATCGTACACCCGAAAATAGCATCTAAGCGACGGGAGCCTGCCATTCGGTAGGAGCCCCGTTGCTGTGAACAAGTAACAACCCAGACCCCCGGGAGGATGTAGAAAGTAGATCCCCGAATTTGGAACCCTATACTACTAAGGGTATTTTGTCGGAACCCCCATTAAGGGATCTACTTTTTGGATCCTCCCGGGGGGTCTGGGAACAGGTGCTGGCGCTCCTTGTCGCCCTGGCGGACACGGTGAAGCTGGAGGCGAAACCCCAAAACACCCTTGACAGGACACCCGGAAAAGAGTGTTTAAGGCTTTGTGGCTTAGAGGTTCAAGGGTTTGGGGTTTATAGTTTAAAGGAATCCCGACAACTTACCGAGTCACTGGACGAGTTCTGATTTTGTTGACTCCTCTTGTTTGCATACGTTAAGTTCAGCATAGATACTGATGGGAAGCCAAAACAATGAGTGAACGTTGAGACTCTCGGTGTTTGGGGTTCCCGTGCCAGGCCACTCATGGGCGCCTTTGGACCTTTGCAGGGTTTAGGATGGGGGCGGGGGGCGGAGCTTTTAAACCTTCTGTTAAGGATCCCAATGTCCAGGATCTGCTTGAGGGCGGGTGCTATTGTCCTGAAACTCCAATGTGCTTGGAGTTTAGGATTCGTTCAGGGACCGATTTTACATATGATACTTGCTGTTCACTCTGCAATGGAAGATGTCGTTCAACTCTCGTAGAACCGATTTTCTCACGCCCGCACTGGTGCTTCCAGTTGCTCTGTTTGGCCTTCTGGCTGAGGGCCTGGTATGTAGTGGTAGTGGTATCCCCTTATAGTATAGTCTAACCATTGATATCGGAGGAGCTAAGGAGCCAGGGATGATGATAAACCCTAGTAAATAAGGAGCTAAAGAGCCAAGGGAACCCCAAAACCACTGCTTAGTAGTCCCTCTGCAAATCTATTTTATTATACTACATCCCGAAGCCCTATTCCCCAAAATCCGCCAGGCTCCACAGACAATCCAAGCTCTCCAGCGCATGGGGCGTGAGGCTTCGGAGCTCTGCCCGTTTCTTCTCGTAGTAATTAATACACTTTACATACCATTTGTTTATGGGGGAGGGGATAAAAGTGTAACCTGCTTTGGACATAAGACCTTGGCGCGACTAAGTCTTAGTATTGATTCGTTTTCTTTAGGACTGGTGCTACTATTCTCAATTGTGTTCAGAAGGGCTTGGTATTTGTAAGATGTTTGAGGTTCGCATGTGCTTAAGTTTTTGCGAGGATGATGTGTTCTATAACCGGCTCGCTTGTGGAGGTCCGCATGGATAAAAATGACAGACTCGGCGACCAGCAAAGCGATCCATATTGTGGACGACTATGCAATGCTGTTGAAACCTTCAAGCCTGAAAGCGCGCACGGTTGTGTTGCGTATGTCGTCCAGCACTCGGGCTTATCGGTGGGGGGATTTACGACTGCCATACGACTGCCATTGCATCTAGACTGTTCCTCCTAGTGTTCTTCATTTTCTCCCTTTTCCTCCTGTTGCTCTTGCTACTGCTAATGCTATCAGTACCAGACGACGAGGACGACTACCACCACCACTACGACGGCGACTGCTACTTCTGCTTCTATTTCTGTTTGTGGTGCAGTTACGTCTTCATCTGCATAACACTACTAATCGGCAGTACTGCGGGAATTCTAATCAAAACCCACCCTTGTGAAAGACCTGGCGAAAGGCTTAATCAGAGTGCTGCAAGACCCTCCTCAACCCTTAATCCCAAGCCCTTGCAGGTGTTCATGCTGACGGGTGACAACGCACGCACTGCGGCAGCTATCGCCCGGCGAGTGGGTATTCCACCGGAGCTGCTGGCCGGAAGTATTGGTTAAAAGGGAATGGAGGAATGGGGTACAATTATACCTACTATTACTACCATTCTTCCATTCCCTACTAACCAAAGGTAAGGAGGGTGAACCGGACGGCTCATCTGAAACCTAATTACATTTGGCATTCAAGCTTCGGTTTGGGTCTCTTCGGCTCTTGAGGTTTTCAAGATCTCCGTCTTTGTGTATGCGAGTGCACGGCTCTACGTATTGCGTTTGTACATATATGGACCATATGCTATAGGATTCGATAGGGCTCGTCTCAACTGGGCACCCCCTCAAGGTAAATATTGCCGGCTGTGTTTCTTGTCATGGGGATATGACGGAGGCCATTGGTCAACAGGCTTTTACTTGCGACAAGTTGCTTGAGGCTGGTAACGTGCGGAAGCCTACCTTTGGGGTAATCCTTCTACTCCTTATGCTCAAAGGGTGACTGGAGGCCCTACACGACAGTCCCCTTTCGAGCTGTCTCGGAGTCTCGAACACTGGATGCTTGGTAAAGACGTAGGCAGAATGAGCAAGTTCGGAAACTTATCTAGACTAGCGGCCCATTATGGTTCCCACAAATACGGTTGATGATAGAGATCCTGTATTACCCACAGGTAGGAATATACCATAATTCCGATAAATTAGGATCCTTAATAGGTAATGCAGGATATATATATATATATATCATAAACCGTAGCATGTACATCACTCTGTAATTGAGAAGTTCAGAGAAGAGCTCATGTCCTCCGTTCGTGCTGTGAAACCCTGCACAGCCATACCATGTCCTTCCAAACCTTCGCTAGCTAGGGCCGCAGCAGAATCATTCTGCCCTTTTTAGTGGCGTAGTGACTTTACTATGTTCTTAAGACTATTGAAGCAGAGGTATATTTATTTCGAAGTGGTAACGGGGAACCTGGCTAAAGCCCTACTTTGAGGAAAACCATAGTTACCTTACTTATAACCCCGGCTACAAAGTCACAGGACCCGCTAAGTCGCCCTAAAACCCCTCTTTTGTAACCCCAAATTTGCCCAGACCCTGTTGAGGATCTCTTTTGTGTGTACAGTCATACATATAGCTCTAGCCGTCGGAGACACGGCTTAGGACCACAAGGATCTAGAAAGTAGATCCCCTAATTTGGGGCCCTATACTACTAAGGGTACTTTATAGGAACCCCCATTAAGGGATCTACTTTTTGGATCCTCCCAGGGGTCTGGGTACTAAGTCCCACGATCCTCTACGCATTCGTCAGCTCAGGAACGTCGTTGCTGGAGTCCTCCCCTCGGGGAAGGCGGAGAAAGTGAAAGAACTGCAACAAAGGCCGGGGTTTTGGGTTTGAGGGTTTTGGGCCCGTTGAACCCTAAGGTGTGGGGTTTCTAGCTCTTCCAACGGGTCTACCACCCAGCGAGAGATGTGCATTCAATCTGCCGGACTGAGAGAACTATAGTTTTTGGTTAACCAAGAAAAGGAACTACAATGGAGACTGTAGATAGTCCCGAGATCCTTCGAGTAGAACATCGCTTGGCTACACCAAAAAGCCCCAAATCCTACAACGCCAAAAACCTTGCACACTGCAAAAGACATTCTGCATATTAATCCTGTCAAAAAAGCAATCTCTGCCGAATCCTTTTGATCTTGTTTCAAGCCAGCAACTTTGACTGCGAAGTTCTACTACTACTATAACTCGATATGTAGCTGTAGCCACGGTTGAATTGACAGACACTTCTGTAGAGGTCCGAATATGTAATGAACCTATCCCCTGTAGTTCCCGCATCGGTACAGTACAATGTCACCCCAAAACCTAGTCTAATCTTTGAGGCCCCAACACTGAAACCCAATAAGTAAAGCACCCTGATTACAGAAGATCCCTTTTCGACTTTTTTCAAGAAGATACTAAATGAAGGCCATATAGCACCCTGGTTATAGAAGACTCCTTTTTGAGAAAGCTTTGAAGATTCCTGCTTAAGACAGATTTTAACGGATCATTATGAAGGCCCCTAGATTACAACAAGAATCCTCTCTGTGAAAGGCCGCAGTCCTCTGCAGCACGCGCCGGCTGCTTCCGTGGGAGGGAGGCGAGGGAGAACCGAGGTTTATAGATAGGGACCCCAAAAAGCACATAAGCATAAGCATTTTATGGGGATATCCCTACCTTATTGGGCTCCATTATAAGGCTGCTTATATAGGAAATCCTAGGATGACCAGTAGTACCCTTATTCCCTTTTTGTAGTCCTAGGTTTTTATTCTTAGGTTACTGGGTATCCTAGTATCCCTGTCCTTTTGCTTTTGCTTCTGTGCTTTTTTGGGTCCCTAATAGAGGGCCGGTCTCCAGGTTCAGGGTTCAGGGCTCTAGGGTTTTACAGTAGAAGCCCAAAAGTTGGAAACCCTATATCCTTAAGAGTCATATGTGTATATATATATAGGGGAATGCCAGCACTATTCGGCCTGAAGCCGCTTTCCAACTTTTCGTGGCTTACTGTAGGGTTTCGGGTCTTGGGTTTAGGTTGGGTACCCCCGCTCAGTAATAATTGAATAATATTCATAATATAGGTATATTCGGACCTTATTAGTAGCCCTTTTGATTGACTCTTACTGTAGGGGGGCAGTACCTGAGGTTTAGGATTCAGGGAAGTCTTGTGCTATGGTTTAGGGTTTATTGAACTTGCAGTGCTCATGATGGTAGCCTAGTACGAAGGAACCTTAAGGGAATACTTCCCGATATGCAGGCTTCCAGATTTCTATGGGCAGGGTCATATTAGGGTTTCTAAGGGCCGTGCGAATGTCTTGGGGCTCATGGCGTTCATGGCCGAAGCCAACTTCAGGTAGTTATGCTGCAAAGGTTGTTGATAAGTCCAAGAAGGATGTCAAGGTTCAGGTCGTCAACATAAAAATTGCTCACCAGCTCACCGGGGATGAAGAGAAAGCTTTGGACACACGAGCAGAAGCAGAAGGTTACCGACGAGATGAAGGTGCTGATATCCACGTTCCTCCAGATCAAGAAGGGCGACGACACGCTCACAACACACGCTGTCGCTTCGGATGGTTTATTCTGACTTGGTACCTGGGGTTATAAATCAGGTAACAACAGGTGCAAGTACCTAACTTTTCAAAACAGTAATTATAATTATCTATAGTCTTAGTTATTGTACAAACGAAGTCCCAACATCCTCCAAGTAGGATGAGGGCTCAGGATTTGCCATGCAGACCCCCGGGAGGCTCCAAGATCCTCCCAGAGTCTGTTGAATAACCTACTTGGAGGATCATGGGACTTAGTAATTGGGGTTATATATAGGGTAACTATAGTTATAATCACTTATAACCCCAATTAGGGTAATTATAACCTCACTTACTAAGTCCCCTCATCCTCTAAGTAGTCCGAGCACGCGCGTGTTTGGGCTTTAGGTTTCGATTCTTTTGAGGATGCAACAATGCAGCAGACTTCAAGCTCCTTGATGTTGGCTCACCGTGCTAACCCGCCTGATTCTTCAAACAGGGCCTAGTTCCATATCCTCCGGATTAGTTCAGTCATGTGCTCCTTATTGCTCGACGAATTCCGCTCCGTCTGTGTGAGCCCTAGGCAAACCTTCAAGAGCACTTGCATTCTCCAGACTGGAAAAGCACATACAGGATCGTGTCATGCTCTCTCATGGCCTATAAGCCCTGGAGTGCAATAAATTCCTGCCAAGACCCCCGCGAAGGTCTAAAATCCTCTTTTGATTCTGTACTGCTATTGTACGCGGTGCTTTATAGGAACCCCTTAAGGGATCTACATTTTGGATCATTCCAGGCGTCTGTGTGAATAAATATGCTATCCCCCTGACAGCCCCTATATGCTTCTGCTACAGCATCTGCAAAGACGGTAATCTACCACATCAGGTGCGGCCAGCAGAGGAGGGCCGGCGGTTCGTAGCACCGTGGCGCTGGAATTGGAAGTATTGTTGGTTTTCGGTGGAATTTGGCACGTGTTATGTTAAAGCCTTTGGGTAGGTGTTTTAGAGTATCCTTTCTGGGGATTTGTTTTCTGATATAGGGATTTCCGCAAGAGTCCACTTTTTGCAGAGTTTGGGGTTGCGAACCCGAAACCCCAGACAGAGTCCCAGAGAGCCCAATACCCCTTAATTAAGGAATATAGCTTAAAATATATAGGGCTTCATATTATGGTTTAAGCTATATTCCTTAATTAAGCGGTATTGGGCTCCCTGGGGTTTGGGGCGCCTTTTTTGTTCGTTTTGCGGTTTTGTCGTTGAGGCTTTTCCTTGAGCTTGCGTTCGGTTTTAGAGGACTGTCGGTCGGCTGGTCTAGAAGTTTTAAGCTCTCGGGAAGCAAGTCAGTAAGGGTTGTGTGGTCAGGTTTTAGGGGTTTAGGTTTCAGAGGTTTAGGGCTTAGGGGCTGGAGTTTGGGAAACCCCTAAACCCGCAACCCCTAAACCCTAAACCCCTAAAAAGCCCCCAAAATAACCTGGGGCTGGAAGGGCTTAGTGATGAGCATCTAGGGCCTAGGGAACCAGTATTGTGTGTGTTTTGTTCATGCTGAGGGGTCCTTGAGAAGATGATTCTGATACGGTTGATGATATAAATCCTGCATTACCTTAGGGACCCTAAACTATGGGAGTTATGGTATATTCCTTATTATGGGTAATGCAGGATTTACATGATCAACCGTTGAGAAGATGATTCTCATAGGCGCCGTGAGAACTGGAATAGTGTTTGGGGTGTCTTTTACTATCGCAAACGCGTAGTCTTGCTAGGGAAACCTGAGGAATAATGCGGGTAATGATTCGGGCTTCTATGTTCCCAACATCGTGGCAGGCGAACTGTTTGGGCCCTCGTGTTAGGGGTTTCCCTTCGATTGCACCCACACCCTTCACAGGAACCAACAGGTAATTCTACTGAGGGTCTCTGTGGCAGCCACAGCCCAGACCCCGTAAAGGAACGAATCGCACAGAGCAAAGAAGAACCCCCCCAAGCGATTAAGCCCATAAAACCTTACAAGATAAACGGCCAGACCTTGCAAAAGCCTTTCAGCCACAAATGTCTTGTTGCTCAAGGCAATGGTCGGTGATGGCGTCAACGATGCCCCGGCATTGGCCCAGGACCGGGGCCTCAGATAATCGGGACTTTGGGGGTTTAGGGCTTAGGGTTTAAGGTTCGGGGTTGGCAATAGCAACCCTTCTCTGGGTCAGGTACGTAGTGTCCAGGCAAAATGAGCTGCAAGTCCCGACGGGCATTACGTCCAGATACGCGTAAGTTTAGACCCGTACATGTTTGAAGCCTTCAACTCCTGAATCCCAAACACGAAGCTGTGACATCCTGTAATTACCCCAAGGCCGAAAGCCTAAAGCCCTCAACTGTACCTGAGCACACGATGCCCAAAGAGTTATACCCCAAGCCAAACCCTATCACCGGATCCATAAATCAGGTAAACCAGAGAACTTGTGAAGGACACGGGATTTACTTAGCAGCTAGGGTTATCAATAGGACAGTAGATTCTAAGTATAGAGGAGCCCAAGGCCTTATTTTAAATATTAATGCCCCTACCTCGAATATTCTCTGCAACCTGTTGGGTTCCCCCAGTCTCTTCCACAAGGTGGATTCCTGCAGCTGGTGGGTGACCTTATGCAGTCTGAACAAAGAAATCCAAGAAAGCACCCAGTCTCATCACATCGACCTTCATATCCCTAAGGGTCCAAGTAACTACGTAGTACATGTAGCAGCCCCTGCAAAGCTAAAAGTACATACTATATAGGCATACTATCCGTTGTAGTAGCAGTTTCAGCGAAACCTTGAAAAAGTCTTATTCTAGCCATCAAGGGACTAAGGCCCTCCAAAAGTCTTTAAACCCTAAGCCCGAACCCCCTATACCCTGTGTTCTATACCCAAAACATACACCCTAAACCCTAAAGCCTCACCCCTACACCCTCACCCCTAAACCCTGTCATCCTATAAGCCCTATGAGCCCTAAAACCCTATAAGCCCTAAGCCCAACAAGCCCTTCGTTTGGATTCCCGTCGGAGGCCGATCTCGGGATTGCCATTGGGGCGGGCGCGGAGATTGCGATGGAGGCTCACCGAGTCTACTTGGAGGATCATGGGACTTAGTAAGTACGGGGATCTATAGGGGTACTATAAGGGTTTAGGGTTTAGGGTCTACTACTTGGAGGATCAGGGGACTTTGTAAGTAAGGTTATAACTACCCTAATTGGGGTTATAAGTGATTAAAAGTATAGGATATTGGAGTCTGCTTTGTTGCAAGGGACTCCTTTAAAAGAATTCCTGTGAATGGGAACATAAGAAAGGGGTTCCTTGTAAGGGGCTGCTTTAAACGGGTCCTTTTACAGGGTTCCTAAACAGAAACTGTTCCTTTAAGGGGTTCCGTTAACATGTCCTTGACAAGGGTTACTTTAAAGGAGTCCTTGAAACGAATCCTGTCAACCGCTCCTTAAACGGATCTATAAGGCAGTAACAGGTAGAGTGACAGGTGCCCCAAGTGGGATCCTAATCGGGGTTATGGTACTTGTAACTGTAGACAAGTACCTATTTTTGCTAAGTCCCCTAACCCTGAACCCCCAAACCCTTAGCCTCCTCAACCCTAAACCTGCTTACCAAGTCTCACGTTGAAGCTACTTACTATGTCCCTCAAGCCTCCAAGTAAGCGCCACGATGCTTCTAATTGATCTAACTTAAACCCATCCTGTGTGATTGGTTTTTCAAAGCCACCAAACAGGAGAAACAGCGGCCCCAAAACTTAAACCGCAAAAGCAAAAGAACGCAAACACCAGGCCGCGAGAAGCCTTTGTTTCAAAAGCAAACCTAAGAGAACTAACAGAGACTCCCAAATCAATGATGAAGCAAGCTAGCTTCTGTTCTAGACGGATTCTAAATACGATTGGAACCCTCTACTTCAAAACCATATATTGCCTTCATAAAGCCCCGTATGTCTTACGGAGCTGAGATTCTGCGAAACAGGCGGCTGACATGGTCCTAGTGAAAAGCCGCCTCTCTGACGCTCTCGCGCACTTTGAGGGTTTGATGGGCTGTAAAGGGATAGTTCAGGTTTGGGGTTTAGGGTTGTGGGTTTACGATACCTGGCTCAGAGGTGTTTTTTGCAAGCTTTTCAACGAGTTTTGCAGAATGTTGTAGATGGTTGTCAGCGTCTTGTGGCTGGCTTTGTTTAGGATGTTTAAAGGGGGCTTTTGCTAGGGTTGTATAAGTCTTTTGAGGATTGTGACATTTCAGGTTTTGATGCACGCTTGGGGTTTCGACAGGGTTCTAAGGCACGTAGGTGTTACAGCTTGGGTTGGCAGGGTTGGCTTTTTCATGTACCCCAAACCCTACACACTACACCTCCTGTCACTCGAAGGCAAAACTCGGTGGAACCCGAGCTAGGCAGGACTTAGCAAGTAATTAGACCCCTGAAAGTAACCCAACACCCTAAACCCGAATCTCTGTACTGTTCAACTGCCCAGACCCCCGGGAGGATCTAGAAAGAGGATCCCCTAATTTGGGGCCCTATACTACTAAGGGTGCTTTATAGGAACCCCCATTAAGGGATCTACTTTTTGAATCCTAAATAGAGTCTGGGTCTGGTTGGGACGTCACGAATCGTAATCACGATGGCACACAGCTCTGCATGAATCCTCGCTACATTTCCGACATAAAGGGATCAACTTTTTGGATCCTCCCGGGGGTCTGGGTGGGTATCGTATTTGGAATCCATGAAAGGGATCAAACACCAGGTCCAAAGGCTTAGACCGCGAAAACGCGGAAGCTCTAAACCCCAGAACCCTACCGTGCGAAGAATCCGCTACCTGGCACCACCCGCAAGGGTGTCCTCTTACCCCACTCCAAGTATGCAAACAGTACCTACTTTTGGGTCTCAAGTCTATAAATGCTAATGTAGGAAGCTGATTAAGAAACCTTGGGCCTTTATTAGGGTTCCTTGTATGGGTCCTACTATTTTGGGGTCATAGGCCCAGGCTTTCTTAATCAGGTTCCTACATTAAGCCCTAGTCTACTTCCCAGATCCTCCAAAGGCTCTGGGATCTGAAGATTGGGCTGATGGGCGTGGGTTAGAAGCTGCCCCCACGCTGTAATAGTGGTATAATAGGAATACAATAGGGCCCTAATACAATCCTTATAGTCACTATTACAGGGTGGGGGCAGCTTCTAAGGTGTGGGCATTCCGGGTGACAAGGGAGCTTGAACGATTAGCGCTATTCTCCCTGAGGGCTCCTTCATGTAGGTTTACGGTCGAAGGTCCCGAAGCTCTGTTCTAACAATTCAGAGGCCCCTATTTTGTAGAGACTTTGAAGGGTTGTAAGATTGGTTAGGGGAGGCAGAGTTGTTTGTTGTTTGGGAGGTTCCAGGCCTTGGGCACTGCGGTTGTAAGGGCTTAGACTTGGTTTTATGTGTGCGTGTGTGGGTGGTAATTTGTTAGTCAGTTGGCTAGTTAAAGAGTTGGTTAGTAAATTAAAAGGCTTGCCAGCTGAGCATCTGGTGGTGGTGGTGGTGGTGGTGGTGGTGGTGGTGGTGGTGGTGGTGGTGGTGGTGGTGGTGGTGGTGGTGGTGGTGGTGGTGGTGGTGGGGGGGGTTATGTTTAGGGTTTAGAGGTGTGGGGCCAGGGATTCTTGGCGCGCGCGCGCGCACTGCTTGGGTGTCCTAGCTTGGTACAAGTATACTTGGAGGATCAGAAGACTTAGTAAGTAAGGCTATAAGTACCCAAACTCGGCTTATAAGTAAATATAACTATAGTTACCCTACATACAACCCTAACTAGTACTAAGTCCCATGATCCTCCAAGTACCCACCTCCGGTCTACTCAGCTTGCAAGTCCCCCGAATGCAACAGTTTTGAGGTTTAGGCAAAAGGGTGTGGGGGTGCGGGTAGGCGACCAACGGATCAAATAAGACAACGGCTTCAACAACAAGCTTTCCGGACCCCACGCATGAAGGCCGTCACACACTCAAAACTCTTGCTCGGCAAAACCCTAAACCTTAGAAGCTGCCCCCACCCTGTAATGGTGACTGTAAGGATTTTTTTAATATTATATTAGGGCCCTATTATATTCCTATTATGCCACTATTACAGGGTGGGGGCAGCTTCTAACCTAAACCCCATCAAATCCTTCTTTACATCCTTTCCCCAAGCCGCAATGCCGCAACACCGCTCCGCGGCCTGACGTATGCATGCTGCGGCTGCTTCCCGTGGTGCGACGTTCGGTGCTGTGGTGGCAGGTGAGGATGGAGGAGATTCGGCCGGAGCAACGCCTGCTTGGAGGATCATGGGACTTGGTAAGTAAAGTTACAAGTACCTCAATTGGGGTTATAAGTAATTATAACTATAGTTGCCCTATTTATAGCCCCAATTACTAAGTCCCATGACCCTCCAAGTGGAGGAACTCCGGGCTGGCATTGGATGGACGTGGTTTGCAATGTCAGCAGCGGGCCCTGAATCGCAGTGGCTGTCGCCGTCGTAGTTCACGCCATGTTGAATCCGTCCCTCGGTGTCAAGGCACCGCAGTCCTGTGCTGATATTCGAAGCATGGTGGTCTTCGCTTCGAAGTCTAAATTGATAAGACGTGGCAGGGCCATCAATTCAATCTAGCGTGAGGTGTCTCTGTGACTGTGTGTGTTCGGGTTATCTGCTGCATTGACAGGTAGTTTCGCCTTTTAATTTAAATCCGCGGTGCCTACAAAGCCACTTACACCAAACCCTCTACAAAATGTTGTACGGTATGTGTATAGGAGTTTCCGAAAATAGGGGGTCCTCATCTAGTGCCCTAAATATAAGGATCCTTATCATAAGGACCCCAAAATACGGTACCCCTATATTCGGAAACTCCCATATGTTACATAATGAGTTTGCAAAGGCCCTATAGACTCTAACCACCTACGTAGACCCAAGGAAGACCCACTAAAACCCTGACAAACGCAGATAAAGCCCATCAGCCTCACACCACAAGCCCGAACTTCACACCATTACAATATGACATAGCATAACAGAATGTAATAGAATGTAATATAAAGCCATGCAAACGGATGTGAAGTAGTATGATGTAAGATGCAGCAACAGAAAGTAGTATAAACATTAAACTATGCACCGAAACCTCAAACCAACACAATGGAATCTAGCAATCTAACAGAGTATAATGTAACATAACGTAGTAAAAGCAAAGCAAGAAAAGGTCAAAATACGTGCCCAAGCCTGAAACCCTAACATGACGAACCGAACCCGAACCCGAAGCACAACGCTCCCATCCTCAAAAAAATGCGGAACTGTGCTGATCCCTAAGCTCCCAAGGATGTCGTTACGGCCTTGCACCTCTCGACTGCCATCTTCCGCCGAATCCAACTCAACTTCCTTTTCTCCTTAGGCGCAGAGGGACCCGAAACCCTACTGAAAGGATCACGGGACTTAGGAATTGGGGTTATAAATAGGGTAACTATGGTTATAATTACTCATAACCCCAAGTAGGGTACTTATAACCATACTTGCTAAGTCTCATGATCCTCCAAGTAGACCCTAAACCCTAAACGAAACCCTATAGTTCCCTTTCAGGAACCCTATAGATCCCTTCAAGGAGCCCTTTTAAGGGGCGCCACTTCCAGGGTGCACGCGCGCCCGTGTCCAAGGTGCACGCGCTTCTGTGTCCAACCTGCACGCGCAGCGCTGGAAACCTGCGCAGGGCCGATTCATCCTGCATGCGCCGGGTACGCCCACCCCCCGTGTCCAAGCTGCACGCGCAGCGCGGGAAACCTGCGCAGGGCCGAGCTTTCTTGTATCCGGAGGCCATGCAAACACAGACAGAAAATCCATGCCAATGTAGACCAAAGTGCTGGAAACCTGCGCAGGGCCGAGTCATCCTGCATGCGCCGGGTACGCCCCACCCCCCCTCGAAGCCGTGTCCAAGCTTAAAATCCATACCAACGCAGACCAAAGTACTGGAAACCTGCGCAGAGCCGAGTCATCCTGCATGCGCCGGGTACGCCCTCCCCCCGCGTCCAAGCTGCACGCACAGCGCGGGCAACCTGCGCAGGGCCGAGCTTTCTTGTATCCGGAAGCCATGCAAAGAAACCTGCGCAGGGCCGAGTTATCCTAGAAAATCCGTGCCAATGTAGACCAACTCCTGCAAGTACACACGAACCTTCTAAGAAATCAGCAAATTATAGTGTATTTTCTGTGGCTAACCTGCCCGCGCAGTGCTGGAAAGCTGCGCAGTGCCAAGTGATCCTGCATCTGCCGGGCATGCCCACGCCCCTCGAAGCCATGTCTAAGCTGCACCAAAATGAAGGGGGTGTGTTTAAGAAATAAGATAACCGGAATCGCCAAATGAGGGGGTGTGTTTAAGATATAGGATAACCGGAATCGCCAAATGAGACGGTGTGTTTAAGAGGTCAGTCGCCAAATGAGGAGGTGTGTTTAAGAAATAAGATATAACCGGAATCGCCTAATGAGAGGATGTGTTTAAGATATAGATAACCGGAATCGCCAAAATGAAGGGGGTGTGTTTAAGAAATAAGATCACCGGAATCGCCTAATGAGGGGATGTGTTTAAGATATAGATAACCGGAATCGCCAAAATGAAGGGGGTGTGTTTAAGAAATAAGATAACCGGAATCGCCAAATGAGGGGGTGTGTTTCAGATATCGGATAACCGGAATCGCCAAACGAGACGGTGTGTTTAAGAGGTCAGTCGCCAAATGAGGGGGTGTGTTTAAGAAATAAGATAACCGGAATCGCCAAATGAGGGGGTGTGTTTCAGATATCGGATAACCGGAATCGCCAAATGAGACGGTGTGTTTAAGAGGTCAGTCGCCAAAATGAAGGGGGTGTGTTCAAGAAATAAGATAACCGGAATCGCCAAATGAGAGGATGTCTTTAAGATATAGATAGCCGGAATCGCCAAAATGAAGGGGGTGCGTTTAAGAAATAAGATAACCGGAATCGCCTAATGAGGGGATGTGTTTAAGATATAGATAACCGGAATCGCCAAAATGAAGGGGGTGTGTTTAAGAAACAAGATCACCGGAATCGCCAAATGAGGGGGTGTGTTTCAGATATCGGATAACCGGAATCGCCAAATGAGACGGTGTGTTTAAGAGGTCAGTCGCCAAATGAGGGGGTGTGTTTAAGAAATAAGATAACCGGAATCGCCTAATGAGGGGATGTGTTTAAGATATAGATAACCGGAATCGCCAAAATGAAGGGGGTGCGTTTAAGAAATAAGATAACCGGAATCGCCTAATGAGGGGATGTGTTTAAGATATAGATAACCGGAATCGCCAAAATGAAGGGGGTGTGTTTAAGAAACAAGATCACCGGAATCGCCAAATGAGGGGGTGTGTTTCAGAAATCGGATAACCGGAATCGCCTAATGAGAGGATGTCTTTAAGATATAGATCACCGGAATCGCCAAAATGAAGGGGGTGTGTTTAAGAAATAAGATAACCGGAATCGCCTAATGGGGGGATGTCTTTAAGATATAGATAACCGGAATCGCCAAAATGAAGGGGGTGTGTTTAAGAAATAAGATCACCGGAATCACCAAATGAGGGGGTGTGTTCAAGATATAGGATAATCGGAATCGCTAAATGAGGCGGTGTGTATATAGGAAGCGCAAATGAGGTCTGTGTGCGCCTTGGACGGTCCGTGTGTGCGCCTTGGACGGTCCAAACCTTCAGCCTAGACCGTCCAAGGTACACGCGCCTAGGCCGCATCCGCAACCGGAGAAAGCTGTGGTTGAGAACTTTTTTCTGAATCGGAAAGTGCTGAATCCCTAGCAAAAAACAATGAATTGGAAGCCATGTGTGCGCCTTGGACGCGGGAAAGGCTGTGCGCAGGCGCGTGCGCCTTGGACGCGGGGACGCGTGCGCCTTGGACGTGCTGGCCCTTTTAAGAACCCTTACTAAGCCCCCTGATCCTCCAAGTAGTAGACCCTAAACCCTAAAACTACCCTAAACCCTAAACCATTATAGTGTCCCTTAGATCCCTTAAAGGGACCCCCATACTGTTGATGGACAAAATCCTGCATTACCCACTATAAGGAATAGACCATAGTTCCCATAGTTTAGAGTCCTTAGGGTCATGCACACGTACTACAGTATCTACAATATCTCCAAGTAGGAGCTCTGAGGGCTCTTTTAAGGGTCCCTTTAAAGCGTGTCTTGAAGAGTACTCTTGCGGGCCCCTGGGGTTCTTTGAAGGGTCCCTTTAAAGGGCGCCTTGAAGGGTACTATGGGGGTTTAGGGTGCTTGGAGGACCGTGGGACTTGATGTGTACAGTTATACGTACCTTAGTTGGGATTCTCCGCAAATTTTTGTAAGTTCCTAGAATTATAACTCTAGTTATTAACTCCCAGGATCTTCCAGAGAAACCCTAAACCCTAAACCCCTAAACCCTAAATCCCTAAACCCTAAACCCCTAAACCCTAAACCCTGAATCCCTAAAGCCATGAAGCCCTGAAGCCGCTTGGGCCGCAGAGGATATAGGGTCTTGGGTTCGGCGCCAGCGGTTTCAGGGCTTGGAGCGCCTCACATAGGAGCCCAAAGGCTCCCTAAAGGGATCTATAGGGTTCCTCAAAAGGGTCTATAGGGTTTAGTTTAGGGTTTAGGGTCTACTTGGAGGATCATGGGACTTAGTAAGTAAGGTTATAAGTACCCTAATTGGGCTTATAAGTAAGTATAAGTATAGTCACCTGATTTATAACCCTAGTTACTAAGTCTCATGATCCTTTAAGTATCGGCCTTCCGTAGTTAGAATTTGGGTACTGCCCCCTCTCAGTAACAGTTGGATCATATTCATGACGTAGGTATATTAGGTCCTTAATAGTAGCCCTATTATAGTATAGACTGTTACTGCATGGGGGCCGTACCCAATTTAGAATAGTCTTTGGCGAGGTTCAACATAGTTTTGATTTACAGGAGTTTTGACGAATAATATTGCCAACTATTCAGGCCCCTGTATAACTGCCCTGTAGAAGGTTTGGTTGGTGATGTTTTGGTTGGTAGTGTATACCCACCCGGCCCGGCCCTTTCTCTGCTCCGATTGCGAAGTGCGCATCGACGTCTCGCATGTACACCCCAGCTGCTACGCCGGCTCGGCGGCAAGGACCAAGAAGCCTGCTTCGGGATGTGTGGGCCGAGTCGGTTAATCTTGACTGGCTTCAGCTTTCATCGGCCGGGCCGGTAAAATTTCACGGGCTTCGGCTGTAACCGGGCTCGCCGCTGTGCCTCGACACTTCCGAAGGATACGTCTGCCTATTGGCCTCCTGGCAGTGGCTCTTTTGGGTGCTTGTTCTGTGGGGTCCACTCGGTCCCTTCCGCAAAGCGAAAGCCTCGCGTCGGATTTGGCGGGTGTAGGGGAAGGTGAATTTCGGTATCCTTGTCTCGGGGTGAATTAAAACGGCAAAGCCTCAAGGCTCAGCTCTTAACCCAGGATGTTGGGTGGGCAGTGGATAAAAGCTCAAAAGCGTAGGGCTGGTAAGGGGACGCCTGGGTCTAGAGCACCTCTTACTTAAGGGTTTTTATCCGCTCATTCAATAGTCGAGGGGGCTAGAACCTGAGGTTTTATCCATTGCCTGCTCAACATCTTGGGAGTAGGACAAACAGAAAGGCTTTAAGAGTCAGCTGATGAAGCCTGGGAAGGTGTTGATATGCAACGACCGCAGCAATCTTTTGCTGCTCTCGACTGCCTTTCGCGTCCCACTTTCAGCCCTCCCTCTTCTCAGCCATGACATACGAGCACCGCTTCGAAATCGAGTGCCTCGAATGCGGCAGCTGTGATCTCCGCTATGCCGAGGCTTCCAGTTTCGGAGAGGTTCTTCTACTAGCTTCAGGGATAGGGCTACGTGGAGTGGTTTTCTAGGGGGAGGTGGACGTCTTCTAGATCTAAGTTCCTTGTTTCCTCGCCGCAGGACAACCGTGTCTTTTGCCACGACTGTGGCACCTTGGCTTGCGGCGTTGATCCGCTCGGGCTGAAGGAGATCGACGAGGATTGTTTAGGTTTTTAAAAGGGCCTCGGGTAGGACTTACTGAGGTGTAGCTTTTGGAGGTAGTCTAAGTGTGGGAGCTTAGCATTGTGGTTCACATAGATACGTAGAGGACGATCACGTGGACGTCACCGTCTATGAGTGCATGGATCATGCTACGGGGAAGTTGTACCAGAAGGCCAGCTTCCTTTCAAGTTTCGGGGTTAAGTAGGGTCTAGCGTTGGGTTCTCACGGTGCCCTAGCTTTTAAGGTCTAGCCATCCCCGTTGTCTCCTGTGCGGGAGGCGATCCACACCCATCGGAGCGACTTCAACAAGAAGCGCTGGCGGCACACGGCCCGGTGCCGCCCGGGTGGACGCTGGACAGCATTCTTTTTTCTTTTTAGGGGGGGGGGGGGTGTCTTAGGGTCAGGTTTTCCTTATCTCGCTAGGCTAACTGGGGGTCCAAAGACTGAGTCTCCTGGGGGTGTGAGGCTAGGGTTCAAATAGATGCTTTCTTTCGGGGGCTCTGATTGATAACTTCACCTCGTTCCCCCAAAACTCGGGGTCTTGGCGCGGTCTTTAGCTCTAGGGTTGTTTAGCTAGTCCTTTTTTTTCTTTAGGCTCTTAAACCCTAGAGGCCTCGAGAAGACGTGCGCGGAGAGACCCTGGGGCTTCCACGGAATGCGCAAGTGGTTGGCGGCGTATGCCGCGGGCAGCGGAGAAGTGATAGAGGGTCCCACGCAGTGCCTGGGCCACCTGTTGAAGGGACGCGCCCTATGCCGGCGACTCGCCAAGAAGTGGCGAGGCTGGTTAACCCGGGAAGAATGTCGACTTCTCCGGGGAGCGTTCCGGCCCCACGATTTCCAGCCTGTGCGGCGAGGACCACGACGAGCGAAGCGGGAGAATTGATGTGTATAATGAAGGTTATCTTCGTGTTTTAGATTTAAGCGGTAGTTGTTGAGGAGGAATTCGCATCCAAGAGGTTTAGAACGAAGCATTTGACCTTACGCAGACGGGATTCGAGTCGTGGGTTTCGGAGTTAGTGCAGGGTGGAAAGCTTGCGGTTGAGTGTTCAGCATTTGGGATGTTGGAAAAGGCGGGTATGTGCGAGCTTATCGGAAGAACCAGGCGGGATGTTACAAAGGGGCCATAATAAGTAGAACACGGTTCTGGTGTATGTCATAGTCTTGTTGTAAGAAGGAACCAGAACAGAACAATATGGGTAATTAAGCAATTATAAGGGTATCCATACTCGATTGTGCATGATGATAAGCGCGGCTACATGGGATATCCCTAGCCTCATCTTACCTTTGGTTAGTATGGAATGGCGGAATGAGGTACAGTTATAACTACTATTGCTACCATTCTTCCATCCCCTACTAACCAAAGGTAAGCTGTGTTTGCTTACATGCTTTCTTGGGGCCCTAAAGGCGGCCCGGGTTCGGGGAATGGAACTGGAACACGGGCTCGTAATCGAGAACAGATTGCGAAAAAATCTGAGCCCAACCTCAAAGCCCCCAAACATCAAGTAGACATAGTCAGAGAATCCCAAAAGATCCCTCCGAGTCACCTGAGGGACCGGTAGGGTTTTAAGTATTGAGTAGCAGAGCTGGCAGGTAACCTTTACCTTGTTGGTTTACTATCTCCCCTAGATAATCTGGGAGTTTAGCCCTTGATTTTTTTCAGTGGAAATACAAGGTGAAACCGAATGCCGGACAGGCTACAACTGCATCGGCATCCCTTTGGCCGCCGGCCTCTTCTTGGCCGCTCTCCTCTGATTCTAGGTCTATAAAGAGAGATATTACAGAGGTCGGAACAGTTGCTACTACTATTCACTATTCCTTTTGGTTCTTTCTCATAAATCACATTCGTGGTATGATAACGACTTCTTGGGACTTCTTCTTACTAGAATACTTGTAGAAATATGGGTGATTGTCACAAATATTAGGTGCCGTATTATAACAAGGACGCAAAAAGGGACCCCAATTTTCACAACCACCCATATGTACCCCCGAATCCCCATTCTGATTATGAAGGCTAGCATCTTACAAGTCGAAGGTTTTGAGAAGGCTTCCACGCGTGGGTTTTTAGGGGGGCTTGGAATGATTCGGAAGAACCCTTCCGGTCCCTAACATGGAGAAGTAGAATACGCCCCAAAACCCTGTTCAATCGTGAAGGTGTCTCTACATACCAGCCCAGGACGCAGCAGTAGATGGATTTGAAGCTGAGAGGCCCCGAATACAGAACCATCATGGTAGCCCTTCTAACAGCCCCTATAGACCCCTTTTGAAGCCCCATGTTACCGTTGACTTCACTTCGGCCCCGAGACCCTAAAACCCCATAGAGCCCTTTCGGGTTGTCTGGGAAGTGGAGCATGAGCCCCACCTTAACCTACCAAAACCTACTTCTTTGTAGGTTGTTATGGTTAACCCTAATCTGGAATCCGTAGGGACCCTATAAAAAAGTAGGTTCGGGTAGGTTAAGGTAGGTTCTTGCACCCGACTGGACCCAGCTACGCCATAAGCACTGCATTAAGAGGCAAAGAGCACATGATCTTAGCTTGTTGATACCAACCCCCATTCTAGAAATGTTCCTTAAAAATGCGTGAGCCTAGGTGACTCTTTGGCTCCCGAAATTGAAACTCAGAGCCTAGGAAGATCTAAATAAATCTTGAACCATGCCCACATAGGCTGGGGGATGCTCGATGTGGTGCAGACACCAACAGGCCCTAAAAAAAGGAAATCCTCTACCCAAAGTTTGAGGCCTGCAAGCGCTAAAACACATGAGGGTCGCAATGGACTCCTAGAAGAGGGACCGTCGGGAAGACTCATCCGAATTGGAGAAGATATTACTATTGGTGGGGGCTTGTTGTTATAGTTACTGACCTGAAACACAGATTAGCACGGCACCCGTTGTGCTTACGAGAAGACGCAGATAGGCCTGGACACGATACCGGCAGCATCTGTTCTGGAAACGAGGGGTGAAGCGTTTCTGCAGCGCGCATCGTCAACTCTGCACATGCAGCCCCCCTTCGCATGCCTGGCGTACGGAGAGTGCAATACACGCCATGACCCTTTGCATGTTATACTTGCCCATGTACCATCTCTTTGAGACCTAATGTTGTGTGATCTGCAAAAGTTCACCTTAAGTAAGACAAGCCCAACTTTGAACTCCTAAGCCCCGAAGCCCTAAACCCAAACTCTAAGTCCTAAATGGCCCCATACAGACAGGCCCCAAGTCGCCAAGAGTGCCTCATCCGTAAGAAATTATGTAAAGCCCGTGTCCACAGTCCCGGAGGCCCCAGTCTCTAAACCCTAAACCTTAGAGCCCGCAGCCCTAAAATCCTCAAACCCTAAAGTTCTACAACCCCCAACCTCTTGACCTCTTGAGCCTTGACCTGCCTCGAAACTACCCGTATAGTACCCCTGCAGGAATCAGTACGTGAACCATTAAAGATGAGGCCATCACCGGCAGACCATTGGCTCCCTTCGTGTGCGGGCTCCTGGCGTCATAGCGTGGAGAAACTGACTAGGACCCAGAGTAGGCCCTTATTCCCTTTTTAAGGGTTTAGGTTCCCTTATAACCCCCTTTATCCCAAAAAGGGCACCCTTTTTATTCCTAGGTTACTCTTGGGTCTAGCTGAGAATTTTCGGGCTTCGGTAATTTACGGGCTCTCGGGCTCAGGGACCTGACTCTATTCGGGGTGTCAGGGGACATCTCTGTTGAAGTACCTACAGCTCCACGTACTTACTACCTAGTTGTTAAGTGCCCCGGACCAGCTTCAGGCCTTTAGCACTTAGTAGCTGAGTGGATACACTTTACACTTTCGGGGGATAATACTACCCACTATAAAACAGAAAGTGTACACTTTTGGGACTTATGAACTCAGCAACTAAGAGCAGGTGTAGAGTTTCAGATAGGGCTCAGAAGATGATTGACCCATACATCTTGATTACAGCCCTACCTTACTTGGAGGTTCATGGGTAGCTATAATTAGGGCTATAAGTCCCCTAAGATGGGTCATAAGTATAGTTGTCCTACATATAACTCTACTTATAGCTACCCATGAACCTCCAAGTACCTATCACCTATGTACATGCAAAGCCCGAGATCATCTACGCAAGGTTCAGGTGTTGGGGATAGGGTTAAGGAGGCTTTATGCGTCATAGGGTTTGTCAACTCAAGGTATAGCTAAGGTAGCGAGACTATTACTATAGTTCTCACTACGTACAGCCCAATTCAGGCCTTACTTACGAAGGCGCTTCCACCCTAAACCCCTAGACCCCCAGACCCCCAAATGCTAGCATGCAGGCATTAAGATCGAGGGTGTCAGCTTGGTGGATCTCGGGGTTTAGTTTAGGAGTACGGTTTCGGGTGTAGGATTAGGATTGTGGGTTTAGGTTTCGGACTCGCACTTGGGGTGTGGATTCTTGGAAGTATTGACACGGAGTTCCACCTACTCCCCCTTTGAACTCAGCGTTTAACTTTTAAGGCTTTGGCTGACTTTCTTCATGGGATCGCATGTTTGTCCTTCGTCACGGAAGCCGAAGCTCTCAGACCCTAAATCCGGATCCCTAACCCCGAAGTCATACCCTACTGCCTACCTGGACCCTAAGGAACCTACCTTTTCAGGGCCCCCTAATATGATTTCTTTATATAAGTCCCTAAAAAGGTAGGTCAATTGGGGTTAAGGTATACTCTGCATTCCGTCTGATCGCAAGTGAACCGAAAAAGGTCTGGATTCGCCATGGCACTCTCTTCCGTGTCTGCCGGAAACTCGGAGGGTTTGCGGGGTATAAGGCTTTAAGGCTTTAAGTGGGTAGTTGTCAAATTCAGGGTCCCTTTTTGGGTACCCTAAACAATAGGTGCGTTAATATAATAGGGACCCAAACACGGGACCATAATCTTGACAACCACCCAAGTGTGCTTTACGACACGCTTCAGGGTGTTGGGCGGTATAGGGTTTAGGGTTTAGGGGGGTATAGGGCTTTAAGGCTCTAAGTGTGCTTCACGACACAATTCAGGGTGTTGGGCTTTGGGTCTAGCGTTTATGTCGCAGTTTGGGGATTCACGGCTCAAGGCTTAGGCTCTGCTGCTTTGGTTTTTGGTGTGTAGGGGCTTCGGGTCTGGAGTGCAGGGTCGGTCAGAAGGCAGAACATCATCGCTCACTCCATGACCCCTCGAAACCGTAATGCCTATATACCTTATTCTTGGCGGCTGACTTTAGATCCTGGTACAGCATAGGCGTCATAATCATTTAGGGTCTTCCGCTGGACACCGAAATGGCTGCCGCACCTGAGGTCGTCTCGTCGTCGCTGATGTTGCGCCGCTATCGCCCTCCCGCTTTCACACAGCTCCTTGGCAGGTTTCACGGGCTACTAACTATTGAGGTATAAGTTTTCAGAAACAAGACCCCCTTAAATTATGGTTCCTCCACATGTTAAACACCCCAAAGCCAGGCTCTAGAGTTCACATTAAGTCCCCTGCATTAGATCGCCGGCTCAGGCGGTTCAGTTTCAGGTTGCATGCCGGGGCTCGGCGCAGAGAATCCCAGACGTTTGAGGTTGGGCAGCACATGCGCCTCGCGCCGTCACCAGCCCACTCAGGGGCCCGACTAATTCATCACGGAAAGTCTTTGGGCTCCCGAAATAGAAGTATAGTATAACGAGAACCCACTCGTCCACAATTTGATTGTCTTTTTACTACGAAGGTCGGAGCCGCCCAGGATTACCACTCTCCCAGACCCTCGGGAGGATCTAGAAAGTAGATCCCCTAGTTTGGGGCCCTATATTACTAAGGGTACTTTTTAGGAACCCCCATGAAGGGATCTACCTTTTGGATACTCCCGGGGGTCTGGGCTGGTTGGGAAGTCACGAAACGCAATCACAATGACACACAGCTCTTCATGAATCCTCGCTACATGTCCGATGAACCCTTCGAAACAACTAGGAGCCCTCGAACCCTCCATCCACAAGACTTAAGACCAGTTGTCTCCTACGGAACAGCCCGAAGAACACTCTTGAATTCAAGCTCTTCTTGAAGCCCCGGGAAGCGCCTTTAAGTGCGACTCCGTATCAAACCCCGAAAAGCGCCGTTCCAAAGGCCAAGCCGCCTACCTTAACAACCAGAACCCTAAACCCACAAGATCAAGCAACAACAACTCCCTGTAAGTCCTTGTGTCCCAACAGACCTACAAGATCTTTTCAATTTCAAAAGTTGTAAACCTTACCAAAGCCTGCCGAAACATTCATCTCAAAGCCGTCCTTCGAGCAAAGGCGCCCCGGATCTTCTAGCTTCTGCCAGCGCCTGGCGGAGAAGATCGGGGCGCGACCTCGCACAGAAATCATGGACGTCGGGTGCTCAGGTGTAGGAACAGTTGGGGCTAAAGCCCTCCTTACTGTAGTAGGGCCCCCTGGCGTGTGATTCTTACAGCTCTTTACACCCCAAAAGCCTGCTACAGTTGTCAAGGGCCCTATACTACCATAAGACGTTCTTCAATGTGTCTTCTATAGGGTGCTATACAGGGGCCTTCGTAAGTGGAAGCGGGTTGAGGTATGTTTTGCCACAAGTTGCAGAGGTTGGTTTAGGGACTATAGCAGGACATGGCTATTACTGATGTTGCAAACCTTCAAATCAAAGAACTAGACTAGGTTGTTGGGTGTTTTATCCTTCGTACTCGCGGCAGCACCCAGAGTCGGAGTAGTAGCCGTACTAGTAGTCGTAGCAGCAGTCGTGGCGGTGGAAGTAGTAGTCGTCGTCGTGGTAGTGGTAGTAGTGGTGCAGTGGCTGACGGGGCATACTGGCATACTGTACTGTTGGTGGATAAAGTCCTCGATAAGGACTACACTCCCGAATTCTACAGTCTAGGGTACCTACGGTCGTGCAGAGTTTTGTCCATCGAAACACCACCGAGACGGGTGCGCGTGCAGAAATGCACCACATAAGAATCTGGGTTGACATTAGCCGCGACTACGTTAGAGCAGATGAAACGTGTAGAAGTTAGCTGGCTACGGCTACAACCCGACATCCTTAACTGAACCAACGAAGGAGCGTGAAGCCCAGCGCAGTGGCATGCGGGCGCTGATGTTGCAAGGATGCTGTGCTGCATGTGGCCTTCTCTTCAGTAGGTGTCGCACGTCATAGTAACTATAGACACAAAAGACTGCATGTTTCCATGTGCCCGGACTAATCTAGACTGACTAGTTACTCATATGTTTCCTAAGCGCTCCTGATTATAGCTTGACTCAGCATACCCCTGAGTGTACCACTGGAACCCCATTCCAATTGTTGAGGTCCCTATATGGCACGTATCACCCACAGCCTTCCCAAGATGCAGACAGCAAACACCCTAAAGCATCCCGCAACAGGGAAACCATCTGGAGACATCCGTCAGAAAGCGGAAAACCTTCTAATGAAGGAGAACTCCTCAAGTCAGAATAAAGTGGGTTATCGCGTGTTAACGGATATCAGTACCCCGAACCCTATTGTTGCCCCCTATCTTGTCTAGAACCTACAAATCTTTTGGATTGAGAAACGTGCACCCTGCCATTTAGTTGTTTGAGGGGCGGTAGGGTTTTAGGGTTTAGGACTCAACGGTATTAAGGTGAAGTATTTGGAGTCCAGGAATTAAGGGTTTTTAGGTTTGAGTCAATGAATCCCTAGTTTGGATCCTTGACCCCTCGGGGCCTGGGTCAACAGGAGGCGGTTTAGGGTTTAGGGTTTAAGCCGAGTAGTAGACTAGGTAACCTTTAACCTTTTCTCAGTAGTATAGTCCCTCTATGGGTGGTTGTCAAAATTGTGATCCCTTTTTGGGTCCTTATAAAAATACGGCACCTATTATTTAGGGTACCCAAAAAGGGACCTTAATTTTGACAACCACCCGTATAACCCCTATATAACCAAAAAGGTCAACCAGGGTTCGAGCTTAGGGCCTGGAGGTATAGACTTTCGGGCTTACTACTACCGGGGCCTGAATAATTACCAAGACTATTTTGGAGTTACTTATTATGATTACAGCACAATGGGCTCCAAAACCCTATTCTAAGTGTTAAGGCCTCTATATTAGGGTTATTTATAAACAATGTACCTAGTTGTACGATAAAATTGCCAGCAACCCCCTTACTCAGTCCCATGATCCTCCCAGTACCTAACCCTCACATGTTTGAGGTGTGGGGGTCTAGGTTATCTTGTCTCGAGGGCGTCTTGGGTACGTGTTCAGTTGTTGTTCCACTCTGGGTTTATGGCTTCTTATAGGCATCTCCAAAACATGTGTCCTGCTTACGGTTTTAAGGGGACTAGAGTAGCAGTCGGGTGACTCAGTAGCCCTTACCGTCCTTTACTATGCAATCCCAAATCCCCATGCTTCGTGGTTTCTAGATCCTTGAGCAGCAACCTGGTACAAGAATTCACAGCCAGAACCTACAAGCTGAGCATCGTGTTTTCGGTTTCGGGTGGGGTTTCACGCTTGAGTGTCCGGGCTGTTGGTTTAATTTGCGGGTTGAAGCCTGATTTATTGGGCCCAGAGTCTCAATATCAATGCAAAAAGACGGGTGCAGAGCCTAGCTGCACAGTTCTTACGGCCGCCGCACCGCTACGCTGGGGCACTCTTGCCACACAAGCAAAACGCCACACTGCTGCAGATGCACGAGGAATGGTCTGCCATCCTGAAGGCCGAAAAGACCATGGCTGGTGGAGCAGCCGTGGCCCCTCTGGGCTACATGCACTGGCGGTTGAACTCCGTGAACAGGCTTTTGAACCTGCTCAATGATATGTCAATGGTCGCTGGGGATCCGTCTGACGCCGCGAGATGCAAGGGCCAGACATTGGATCTCCTTCGTGTCACGCTGCAGCACATCGGTGACACGGCCATTGTGGAGAACACCCACCAGATCGCGAAGGACTCATTGAGAGATGCCCGGCATTTTCAGAAGTCCCGGGTGGGCAAGCAAGCTGCATGCATTCGCAGCTCTGCTTTGAGTTCTCGCGACATTCCACACGTGTGTGTGAGTGACGATCAAAAGGCGACAGCAGCTGGGGCAAAATCTGAAGCCTTTGATGCGCTCACTCAACCTGCATCGCGACCGATTTTGCCGCCAGAGTCCTCGTTACCCCAAACTTCATATGGGTGGCCCTCTAAACTAAGTTCTCTTTTAGGTCCCAACAATAGCGACAGGGCTCCTTATTTTTAGAGAACTGCCCATACACATCTGGACCTGTAGCTCGGATCGGGGAGCCTAAACTTCTTCGGAGATATCCGAGTCGACGGCAGCAAAGGGAACTCCAGCAAGTTGGAATATGGTTTCAGGGTAGGATACCTTGTTATTTACCATAGAAGGGTTAGGATAATCATATTCCAACTTTCTGGCTTTTACTGTAGTCCACGCCAAGTCAAAGCTCGCGACCGAAGAACTTCTGGTTGATGTATACTTGGAGGTTCATGGAACTTACTATGTATGGTTAGAAGTACCTTAATTGAGGTTATAAGTAGTTATAAGTATAGTTGCCCTAATAATAACTCAATTACTAAGTCCCATGATCCTCCAAGTATGCTGCCCACTCCACGAAGTTGGTACACGATGCCCGAGCGTTGAGAATCACTGCCCCCTGACAGTCGCTGTTCACTCGGAGCGCAATATCTGTACTGCAATGTCAATCTTAGGATGTCCTTAAGGGGGGGTGGTCCAAGGGGGGTAGGTAACCTAGTAATCCCCATTATTCCCCAATACTCCCTAAGCTTCCCTAAGGTTCCCCAAAGCTCCCTAGTACCCTCCCCCTTGAACCACCCCCCCTTAAGGACCCTACAACAATCGTGACAAGCGGACTCTAAACCTCCGGATGGCGACAAACCGAAGCTTCAAACTCTAAAAGTCTGAGCCCCAGTATGGAATTGCATAAGTTGCCTTCTGGGGGGGGGGGGGGGGGTATGATTTAAAGCCACAGGCCCGCAACCCCCAAACATTTAAAATCCCGAAGAAACCCTTGAACAAATACCCCAAGGCGATTACCCTTAACCCTAAACCCCTGAAACAGGGACCATAAACCATACACCATATCCCCGAACTATGTTTCCTCAGTGAGACCCTGGCCCTAAATCACAAACCATATACCCTAAGTCATTTTCCTCAGGTATGATGGAGAGCTGCGGAGCACTCACGGGAGCAAACTGCGCCTGCAATCCTTGTGACTGCCGACGATGCGGCCAGAATTCTCTGTCGCAGGCCCACGCCTAGAGACTGGGAAAGGTTTATCATGGGCATCATAGGGCTCGGCAAGGTTTGATACGGTTTTGTAGCGCTTTGTTGGTGTGATGGGGGGCGTTTAGTGCGTTACAGAGGGTGTTATGAGGGGCTTATGGAGTTTCATCTGGTTTGAACGGGCTTATGCGGGTTTTGTAAAGGACTTGCAGGGCACATGGGGGCTTTGTTGGTTTTGGTGCTAGGTCTGTCGACGCGAAAAGACTTAAGTAGGGCTCTCCGCTCAGGCTACTTGCTACGTCCTCTGATCAACCCGTACTTGCCAAGAGCCCTAAACCCCTACGTCCAGACCCCACCCAAAACCCATGAAAGAAATCTTGTGATCCTACATCCCAGACCTTCAGCAGTTAAAAGTTACTCATCACGGTTGATGATATAAATCCTGCATTACCCATAATCAGGAATATACAATAATTCCGATAGTTTAGGGTCCTTCATGTAATGCAGGATTTATATCATCAACCGTAGCAGCTCCTAGTGTTTGGATCGTTTATTGGGCCCAGTCGCTGTTGTATTTGGTTTGTTGAGTGTTCTTTAGTGTGCTATTTGGGCCTCTTGTGGATGCCTTTGCGTATTTTCGTTGTGTTTCCAGTTGTTGGTGTTTTATCAGGGTTATCTATGATTTAATGTCGGCTTTTTGCCCGGGGGTGGGTAAGGGATCTATGAACGGGCAACTTGTCAGGTCCGAAAACACCTACTAAACATTGCGGGATATGCATTTTCCGCTCGTTGTGGGTACCTTGTTCAGGGACCCCTATACTCAGTATTGTATTATTTGGGGTTTGTATTGAGTGCTCTTGAAGTTCTGTCAACCTCATGGTCCGTAATTACCCAGACGGGGGAAAAGATCCACAAAAGTGATCCCCAAATTCGGAGCCCTATACTACTGGAGGGTGCATTGTAGGAACCCCCTCAAGCGATCTACCCCACACCCGTAAACACTAGAGCCTAACCCCTAAACCTCACCCCAACTTGTGGGATCCTCCCATGTCATCTCAGGGTATATAAACCCATAAGGACTCTTTAAACTCGCATCCCATAAAGCCTCATAGTCCGCAATTCAGGGATGCAGCACTTGGAGGGTCGGAGGATTTGGTAAGTAGGGCGAAACTTAGGGGTACTTAGAAATATTTTTGAATTTTTGGTTACTATAATCCCTAAGAAACAGCTAAAATTATGATGTTTGATAGGGTTCTAAGTTCAGTATAGGAAAGTAGAGTTGTAAGTGCCTTAAGTGGAATCCTATTCCTACTCGTCTGGCAGCTGTAGCATGTCCTTCGGTAATTGGGTCTTTTTTACTTAATCACTAATCGATAAACCCAAAACCCTAGCTTCGGCGGACCGCAAAAGGAGCAATGTAAAGAAGAAAGACCTAAACCCTACTTACTAAGTCCCCCCTAAACCCTAAACCCTATACCCTAAACCCTAAACCCTACTTACTTAGGTCCCCGACCCCCCAAGAGAAGTCTCGGAGCATCCTTGGCGCCAGGTGAGCACCGCAGCGCATTCTCCGCACGGTAGCGAAGGCCACTGAGGTGCTCAGCTTTAGAGCTACTATAGTCCTTAACCCTTTGCGCCGAACCAGAACCACAGGGTTTAGATCAACAAGGCTTATATGAAAGGAACCCAAAATCTCATTTTTGTATGTGGTTGGCTTTATTTGTGTTTAAAAGTGTTTTTTTGTATTTAAAAGTATTGTTTTGTATTTAAAAGTTTTTTAAATAGGTTTTTTTGTGTTTTACAGTTGTTAAAATTCTTTTATTTTATTTTTGGTGTAAAAAATACATGTTTGTGAATTTTGTTTCTGAGTGAGTCAATTGGCTTCCTGTTGTTCTACCTGGTTTCCTGCTGCTGTATGTCTACAAAATTGTTGTTTATTTGTTGTTGAAGTTAATAATTTTTAAAATTTAATCTTTTTAAATAGTTTTGGGTTGTGATTGAACAAAGAAGGGAGGCCGTAGTGACATGTTGACTTGCCTTGAGATCTTGCCCTTACCCACACGGATCGACTGCCCTTCTCGGTTCGTGGGCACCGTTGGCCGGGTGTCAGGTTATGAGGCGATTGTATCTAGACCGCCTTGGGGCCAACGTGCCAGGGCAGTGGCATATGACACCCGGACAAATGGGCTAAAGTGCCGGGTGGGGCGGTTGAGGGGTTGTTCGCAGCCGTGCTTACAGCCTTGAAGGGGAGGCCATCCATGCTTGTCGTCACGTTTTGTTAGGGAGCCTTGCGACTTGGATCGACAGAGGCAGAGTGCCACCTTACCCACACGGATCGACTGCCCATCTCGGTTCGTGGACACCGTTGGCCGGGTGTCAGGTGTTGTCGATGGTACCTGGACCGCCTTGGGGCCAACGTGCCAGGGCAGTGGCATATGACACCCGGGCACATGGGCTAAAGTGCCGGGTGGGGTGGTCCAGTGGTTGTGGCTTTTTTATTTTTCTCCCAACCAGGAGGGGAGGCCATCCATGCTTGTCACGTTAGTTAGGGAGCCTTGCGACTTGGATCGACAGAGGCAGAGTGCCAGTCGAGCCTCTCGAGGTTGCCTTACTTAAGTCCCTGCCCCATCGGGGTTGCTCCCCACACCGTTGGCCAGGTCTAAGTGTTCGGTTTGAATCCAAGCCTAGTGAACGCCTTCTCTTCCATTTCCTTCTCTCCCATCGGTCTTCATCGGCTTCCAGCCCATCGAGAAGTGGATGCCAACTGCTGGGATCTCAGCATCAGCTTGCTTCAGCTACTTCCATTATTATGGTACAGTCCTGGCACCGAGGCTCATGACGAGGATCCTGAGGACATGCTGCCATCGCAGAGGACAAGCTGCCTTGCATAGTCAGTGAGCGTGTCATGTATCGCAACTTGCCGCTGCAGCAGTTGTGCTCGCTGTTGCCCTGCGTAATCTACTATAGTCGTGTTACAGCTGCTCTGTCTCAAGTCTAAGTCGTAGTAGGCCCCCCTGCAAGCCGGCAGATGTCGTCGACGTCGTGGAGTGACAGTGAGTCTGTGGGCTCGGACTGGGTTCTGGTTGACGATGAGGGTGCAAGCACTGCGGGCTCGGTCGCGGACAGTTTTGACGACGATGATTCTGTGATTCCGTTCGACACGATGCTAGAGGAGTGCTTTACGACATTCTGGATGTTTCTGAATTCTCAAGAGCGTGGGCAAGTCTTGCAAGTAGCCTGGTCTGTCAATGAGCAGATCATGTTCACACTCTTTCCGAGACTTCGGCGGGATTTTCGGCAAGGCAGAGTGCCAGGAATTTTATATTACAATGTGTCAGACGAATTTCTGGCGTTACTGCTTCAATGATTTGTCGTGTTTGTACAGCCTCCGAGACCGTATTACGGATGTTGGGGAAGGCAGAGTGCCGGGTTTGCGTGTGTTTAGAGGATTTTGAATTCGACGATCTCGCCAGCAGAGCTAGACTGTCCGATTTGAGACCTCAGCGGTAGTGTGCGCAACTTGGATTCAAAACGGTTACCCAGCATGACATGCTGACTACACAGTGCCGGGTGGCAGTGATGTCCTCAGGACCCTGCTGTCTCCGAGGCTGGCTGCCTGCCTGCCTGCCTGCATAGTCTGTCAGTGAGTTGCCTTGCACCATACATGATCGACATCTGTCTGCCGGCCAGGGAATCAAGTGATTCATTCATACTGATGTAACAGTAGTAACACAATGTTACATATCATTGATTAATGTACTGTATAGTGATGCATTAGTCACTGTTAATGTTTTAATCTTTGGACAATTGAAGTGTGCTCGATGAAAGCAGTGATCCCGACGACCTGCTCTGTCTCTAGTCTAAGTCGTAGTAGGCCTCCGTGCAAGCCGGCAGATGTCGTCGACGTCGTGGAGTGACAGTGAGTCTCTGGGCTCGGTCTCGGACTTATTGGCTGTTGGCGAGTTTGCAAGCACTGCGGCGTTTGGGGGTTCGTTTGTGGGCTCGGTCGCGGACAGTTTTGACGACGATGATTATGTGATTTATTTCGACGAGCTGCTAGAGGAGTCCTTTTCGACATTGTGGATGTTTCTGAATTCTGAAGAGCGTGGGCAAGTCTTGCAAGTAGACTGGCATATCAATGACATGATCCTGTGCGTACTCGTTCCGAGATTTGTGCGGCAAGGCAGAGTGCCAGGAATTTTACATTACAATGTGTCAGACGAATTTGTGTCGTCACTGAATCAATGATTTGTCGTGTTTGTACAGCCTCCGAGACCGTATTACGGATGTTGGGGAAGGCAGAGTGCCGGGTTTGCGTGTGCTTAGAGGATTTTGAATTCGACGATCTCGCCAGCAGAGCTAGACTGTCCGATTTGAGACCTCAGCGGTAGTGTGCGCAACTTGGATTCAAAAAGGTTACCCAGCATGACATGCTGACTACACAGTGCCGGGTGGCAGTGATGTCCTCAGGACCCTGCTGTCTCCGAGGCTGGCTGCCTGCCTGCCTGCCTGCATAGTCTGTCAGTGAGTTGCCTTGCACCATACATGATCGACATCTGCCGGCCAGGGAATCAAGTGATTCATTCATACTGATGTAACAGTAGTAACACAATGTTACATATCATTGGTTAATGTACTGTATAGTGATGCATTAGTCACTGTTAATGTTTTAATCGTTGGACAATTGGGTGCTCGATGAAAGCAGTGATGCCGACGACCGTTTCAAGGTGCTCAGGGAGTTCCGAGGCAGAGTGCCAGACTTCTGCTGCTGACCATCAGAATCAGGCCAATCACATTGACCTTGGCAGTGATTACTGGAACGAAGCCGTGCAACAACTTCGGTGGAATTGTTTACACTGTGGCAGATCAGCTGCCGACTATACCACCGGGCTCCGAAAGATCCAAAGGGCTGCACAATTGGATCAACGAATCAAATTGGCAGTTGAGGCCATCTCAGATTTCGGAGATATGGATATGAAGTTGTACAAAGCATGGACCGGCCAGACAGATGTGCTGCCTGGGTCGATCCCGCCACCTCGGCCATGCCAGCATGATGTCGAGACGTGGCCCATGGATGATGTTTTGATTTACGACCATCCCCAGTGGCAACTGTTTGTTGGCAGTATTGGTTGCCCGATCCGATATGACCAGCTCCGGGTCAAGCCTGACATTGTCATCTCTATGAATGCAGATGACAGACCTCGGAATTTTGAGCCATGGGACTGGTATCAGTATTTGGCGAATTGTGGACCGTTTGGCACTGCACATCTTCGGTATGGTGGCTGGGATCAAACACATGCCAATGACTTTGATGCTGAACAAAGAAGTCATGAGTTCAAGACCATTTGGCGCCGCCTCATTTCAGATTTCAGAAAGATTATGATGTGCTGGCAGCGCTCAGCAGAGGAGTTCAGCCAGAGTCAAAGGCAGAGTGCCATCAAGGGCAAAATGATGGGCAAGGCCAATGGCGGCAGGGGCAAGGGCAAGACAATCAGCAAGGGCTACAGCGGCCCCTGTCAGGTTTCCAATCACATGCAAAGCCAGAAGGCATCGACGAAGGGCTCATTTGGCTATGGCTGCTCCTATGACAAGGGCTTCAGCAAGGGAAGTGACATGGGCAGCCTGTTCGGAAGAGCCGCTGATGGAAGGCAGAGTGCCGATGGAAGGCAGAGTGCCTTGAAGGTGGCCGATGAGACATTCCCTGGTGAGCTCGGTAATGCTCTTGCTTTGTGGGAGGCGATGAAGCTTCAGGGAGGTGGTCGGAAGCGTGGAGGCAAGAAGAGGCCAATTCGTGTGCTTGTCCATTGCTACGGTGGCATTAACAGGACCTGTGCTGCTTATTGTGTCCTAGTCATGGCCTTTGCCTCGATGACCATGGAACAAGCCATTGTCAGGTGGATCAACAACCGAGCCTACTATGCTCCATTCCGGGATCGTGAGTACATGATTGAAGCACTGCTGGAAATGCAGGATGAGCTGCACACGTACAGTTGATCATCGACACTGAACCCGAAGTCCATGGTCAAACAGTTCTGCTCCAATGAATGATTCTGAGCCGTCGAAATTTGTGTCCCGACACTGGCCCAGCCAGAGAGTCCTGGACCCGACAATGGACTGCTGGCTGGAAGTGAAACACAGTCCTTACCTTGAAAAGGCTAATAGTTACATTCCCACTTTCAGCTGGCAGTCACAGCTTAATTCGTGCGTTTAAACCTGGCTGCCGGTGTTACTGACTGAGCCTAAAAAGAAAGTGAGATCATGCCCGTCTCGGTTGTGGAAACTGTCAGTTCCTTTGTCGGTTGTGCCGACATGGTGATCAGGGCCGCTGGGGCGATTGGATGAGTGAATCCAGCCGGCGACTCAGTGGGTGCAAATGTGACTTTAACAGTCAGTCTCCGGTGATTGTAATGAGTGCTCATTTTTGCCTACTTGTGCTGTTTCAGCAGTCTGGTTCAGGTAAGGCAGAGTGCCCTTGTCCCAATTGTGCAGTGGGCAAGTCATTATCCGCCATGGAAAACACAGGGGCAGGCCGCCACCGCACTCAGCTGCAAGAGTTTTCACATTGGCAGCTGACCAACTCATTGAACAACGCTC